ATTGCAGGGGGAATTCCTCCACCGCGACAGCCCTACTGAACACATGAGAATTCATACTGGTGAGAAGCCTTTCATATGCCTGTCCTGTGGAAAAAGCTTCACTCAGAAATGCAATCTTAATGCACACAACAGAATTCATTCCCCATGATCCTCTCTGCTGTTCTCACCTTCTTCCAGTGTGAGGCGCTGCAGCCTCCACACCACACAGTGAGACAGCTGGTCAGAACGCTCTCTATGGTGCTTCTGTAGAAGGTGGGGAGGATGGGTGGGGGCAGGTGGGCTCTCCTCATCCTCTGCAGGAAGAACATGCGCTTCTGTGCCCTTTTGACCAGTGAGGTGGTGTTTACATTCCAGGTGCGGGTGTCTGTGATGTGCACCCCCAGGAATTTGGTGCTGCTGACCACCTCTACAGCTGAGCTGTTGATGAGCAGTGGAGCGTGGTTAGGACGGTTCTTCCTGAAGTCAAAGATGATCTCCTTGGTCTTCTCCACGTTCAGGATCAGGCTGTTATCTTTGCACCAGTCCACCAGCTGCTCCACCTCCTCTCTGTAGTCCAGGTCAATGTCGTCTCTGATGAGGCCCACCACCGTGGTGTCGTCTGCAAACTTCACCATGTGATTGGTGGTGAACCTGGGGACGCAGTCATGTGTCAGCAGGGGGCTCAGGACGCAGCCCTGAGGGGAGCCTGTGCTTAGACTGATGAAATCAGAGGTGTTTTGTCCGACCCGGGCTGACTGAGGTCTGTTGGTGAGGAAGTCTAGCAGCCAATAGCAGACCATTTGCCCATAAACAGCAATAGAAATGCAGCAGGTGCTCTGCTGACTTAATGGCACCTTGTGGCAGCTGCATGCCACTGCAGCTGCCACAAGGTTCCAGAGGACCTGCCATTAGTTACGGCAGCGGGACTGCTGGCATTGTTACTTTGGGTTTGATAGATTAACTGGTTGTTGCAGCTGGAAACCGCTGATGTTTCTTAAAGACAGGTGGCTGCATCAATGCCAACACCTGTACTTACAATGTAATGAACCCGTTTACAGAATATCACAAATCCAAGCTCCCTGATATATTTCTGTGTCAACTGAGGATGAATGTGTTTGAATCACTAACTTGGATCTCATGTTGGGAAGGATAATGCTGATCAGACCTAGATCAGCGAGCGACACAGAAATCGCCTTAACATTACACAGGGATTAAAATATTTCCGTCTCCAAGCAATTTCTCGTCTGTAAAAAAACAATCACTCAAAAATAAATTGACAGTAAATTTAAAAAAAAGACAATTGAAATCCCTCTTGCACTTGTCAGCCAATGGTAACAAAGGAATGTCCTGAAACCAACAGTATTAGCCAATCAAAAGAAGAAGGGGGAGGGTCTTAGCTAAGCATGTACCTCCTCCTCTCGTTTCTTGCTCAAGTCGCCAGATAAATAGCGTTTTAATGTTCTCTAAATGCCAGACTGAATTTCATCTACCTATTAACCAGTTAAGGACAACGCTTAGCAGCAAAACTGGGTATCAAAAGAAATCTGGTACATGCAGGTGGTAGATATAGATGCACTTTTGCCATCTTCTGGCCATTTTTTGGTATTGGATTTTTAAAAGTCAACTTTACTCTTCAATCAGTCATGCAATCTCTGATCCCATGCCGCACACACCCCTGGCATGGCTTGAAAATACACACGAGCAATTGCAGCAGTTCTGCGCAAATTAATCGTGTCAAAAAATTGTCACTTTTTAAACACCACAATGTATTAAATAAATACAAATGCTGGGAACTAATTTTATTTTACATTTCTTTAATATTTTGTTCTATTCAGCTACACAAGCACCCTCTTTAAACTACTAAGAATTGTGCTATAAATGTGACTTTACCCGATTCTTGTGTACACCTTAGTAATTTATTGATATGCCGCACAATGTCCTCCTTTTTGGTGCTATAGAAATGGCCACCCTAGTTGGAAGACGCGCCAGCAGCATTTTATAGGTCTGCTGTATGGGACCACTTTGCATTTAGAGTGACCTACGATGACGGTGGAAAGAAAGTTGTGGATAAAAGTGCAACAGTGTGCAAGCATTGTGCAACACGCGTTGTACTTTACAAGACATAATAGATTTTCCTAACGATCAACATATACCGAACCGAAAACCGTGGATTTTGTGAACCGGTCCACCCCTAATGTCCTTGTGCCATGTGCAATTATAGACATCCTTGTGCTTGAAATGGTGTTCATGACAGACAATCTGTGCTTTTTTAACTACTCTTTTTCTAACTGGTCATCCGGGGGAATTTAAGCCCCCTGAAAACATAGCCTCTGTTATCATTCAATTCAGTTAATTTATACAGCGCCAATTCACAACTCATGTCATCTTAACCACTTTATAGAGACAATTCAGTCAGATTGGTTTAAAGTTTTCTATCTAAAGAAATCCAGCTGATTACATCGACTCATTGACTCAAAGCCAATCCCTCACACCAAGTATGCTTGTAGTGACAGTAGAGAGGAAAACTCCCTTTTAACAGGAGGAAACCTCCAGCAGAACTGGGCTCATGGTTAGCGGCCATCTAGCATCAGACATACAGAAAGAAGCAGAGATGCAAAAGTTGGCCCATTCCCTGGAATACAGGCAGACGAGCTCTAAACCAGTTCCCACGCCAGAGGATGAAATGTAGCACATAGAGTTAGTCACAGTATGAGCAACAGGACAGCAATGAAAAACAGGCCCATCTCCAACATCTATAAACAAAGGTGTTGATGGCAGCAGCACAGCTGATATTTCTCTCTAGGATGGAGTCACAGCCAAACAGGAACAGACCACATGAAGCTGTTATGATGAGAAAAATCAGAGAGAGCATAAAGTGAGAGGTTGTACTGGGCCTGGGCAAAAACGTGATTCAAAGAATTAAAGCACTTTTTTTGTTGCGGGTAGTTTTAAAGAAGTGTAATCTTTTTTTTTTTTTTTTTTTTATGTAGCGGCACATTTTAGGCTCCCCAGAGTTGCATTGGCTGCAGTGTTACTCTCAGGTTGTAGTTTGGCAAGCGACAGCTCAACACAAAACGGGAAAGGTTATAACTACAAGTGAGAAGTTTGTTCTCAAAAAAGGAATAAAATCATCCGTTGTTAGGAGCTGCAGGGCTTAAAGTTCTCAGTCATAGTGGCAGATATGCGGCTTGCATCAGCTGTGGTTGTATTAGAAGAAATGGGATTGTGTTTTGAAATGCATATTTTAAACCATCAGAAAAGGTTTCTGCTCCAGATAGTTAACAAGCTAGCTGTTAACTGATGCAGGGCAGCTGATAGCACGGCACGGTAGTGATCTGAAAAGGGGTCCCTATGTCCTCCAGCAGTCTAAGCCTATAGCAGCATAACTATAGAGATAGCTCTGGATAACCTGAGCCACTCTAACTATAAGCTTTATCTAAAAGGAAAGTTTTAAGCTTAAAAGTAGACATGGTGTCTCCCTCACAGGCTAAAACTGGTAGTTGGTTCCATAGGAGAGAAGCCTGATAACTAAAAGATCTGCCTCCCATTCTACTTCAAGAAATTCTTGGAACCATTAGTAAACCTGCAGACTGACAGGTAAGTGCTCTGTTAGGAACATAGAGAATGATCTGATATCTGATATTAGATTGAGTTTGACCATTTAAGGCTTTATATATACCACTTGCCTTTCGGGCAAGTGACTTTCACATTTAATTTGCCCAGAAACAATTTTTACTTGCCCAGTATAATGTTTGATAAATATAGTTCCTAATATTCATTTTTTTATATACACCCACCGGCCACTTTATTAGGTACACCTGTCCAACTGCTCGTTAGCACTTAATTTCTAAGCAGCCAATCACATGGCGGCAACTCAGTGCATTTAGGCATGTAGACATGGTCAAGACAATCTCCTGCAGTTCAAACCGAGCATCAGTATGGGGAAGAAACGTGATTTGAGTGACTTTGAAAGTGGCATGATTGTTGGTGCCAGAATGGCTGGTCTGAGTATTTCTGATCTACTGGGATTTTCACGCATAACCATCTCTAGGGTTTACAGAGAATGGTCCGAAAAAGAAAAAACATCCAGTGAGCGGCAGTTCTGTGGGCGGAAATGCCTTGTTGATGCCAGAGGTCAGAGGAAAATGGCCAGACTGGTTGGAGCTGATAGAAGGGCAACAGTGACTCAAATAACCACCCGTTACAACCAAGGTGGGCAGAAGAGCATCTCTGAACGCACAGTACGTCGAACTTTGAGGCAGATCGGCTACAGCAGCAGAAGACCACACCGGGTGCCACTCCTTTCAGCTAAGAACAGGAAACTGAGGCTACAATTTGTACAAGCTCATCGAAATTGGACAATAGAAGATTGGAAAAACGTTGTCTGGTCTGATGATTCTCGATTTCTGCTGAGACATTCAGATGGTAGGGTCAGAATTTGGCGTCTACAACATGAAAGCATGGATCCATCCTGCCTTGTATCAATGGTTCAGGCTGGTGGTGGTGGTGTCATGGTGTGGGGAATATTTTCTTGGCACTCTTTGGGCCTCTTGGTACCAATTGAGCATCGTTGCAACGCCACAGCCTACCTGAGTATTGTTGCTGTCCATCCCTTTATGACCACAATGTACCCAACTTCTGATGGCTACTTTCAGCAGGATAATGCGCCATGTCATAAAGCTGGAATCATCTCAGACTGGTTTCTTGAACATGACGAGGGCTGCGTCTCAATTCGCAGGCTGCGTACTTGGTAGTACGCATTTTGAGGCCGGTGACGTCACAACGCTGCGCGGAGGCCGTCCCATTTGGCAAAAATTCTGAGGACGCTTAAAATGCAGCCTCAAAATGCGTCCTCCTTTTCCCCGAATTCTGAGGATGCATCGCTACCGTCCTTAGTGGCCTCGCCTCCCGCTAGATTTCCCGAGGTGCTTTGCGTGCTTTTTTTTTTTTTTTAGTAGTTGAAGAAGAAGAAGAAGAAGAAAGTCGGAGTCTCTTCAAGTTACGGACAACCGAAAGCAGCAGCAGCGCCGGCAGTAGAGCTGAGAACACCTTTAAATGTAAGTAGTTTTTTTTTTTTTTTTTTTTTATGAACATCTATTAAAATACATGACGGTAACGGAGCCACCGGAATGTGTAGGACCAGCTAAAGCTAAAGCTAAGAGCTAACCTGTTGATACGTGATGTTCATCAACAATTAAAAGCCTTCATACAAATGTCACTATTTTTCATTTTAACCTACATCTTACTGTACTAATAGCCGTATCCCTCTCTAATCAGATCTATTTATTCTCATACAGTTTATTACAAAGTATTAGAACTTTTAAAGCTTAATGCAGCTGAAGAAATAACATTAGTCCAGCTGTACTGGGCTGTTAATACTGCAAACGTTTTGTTTTAATACTCAATAATGTATAGTTAATTTACAGTACAGTATAATAAGGTTTAAAGTATAATTCGCTTGAAGAACAATACCAGTGTAATTATAGAGAACAGTCATTTTGCCTGTTGACTTAACAGAAATATGCTTTACATGTCATTTTGTTCCAGGGAGCAGACAGAGGAGTGGATAAAATGACCACTTCATCATCGGGGCCAAATATACTGCTGCAGTCGGATGGAGGGAAGAGTTGAGGCAGAATTCCATCTACATGTTGCATTTCTATGTAAAAGTCACACAGGTTAAAATAAGTCCTGTTCAAACACCAACGTACAAATATATAATAATTTGATCACATCAAATGATGCTCAGATGCCACTTTTTGTAAATCTCATATTTGTGATAGAAGTGATCCTTGTGTGGGACAACTTAAAAAAAAATACAAAGTAGGTTCAGGTTTGGGTAATATAATGAAACACACACACACATATATATATATATATCTTTCATTTATTATATTCATATTAATTTCCACTTTGAGTAAGCTTGAAAAAGTAATCTCCAGGTTACCATTCCAAAGTCTTTTTCTGTAGAATTTCATCAATCCATCCAAATCATGAAACATTCCTTTTTACTAGCTTTAAAGAAACACTACAGAAAATAGCATCTGTTGATACAAATAGTTTTCCTCTACTTTAGGAATGCAAAGATCCTTGGACAGGACAGCGGGTCAGTGGGAACCCTACTGCTGCCACCTGGCCCTGGTTTGTCCTCATGGAGGAGGTATTAGGACAGAGGCCCTCTGTTGCCCCACCTGTCCTAATTGCCTCCATCCCTGAGGACACACCAGGGCTAGATGCTGCAGAGGCTGGGCAGCATCAGGGTGAAGATGAGGAAGAGAATGAGAATGAGAGAGGAGGGAAAGGAGGAAGAGAAGAAGGAGAGACGAGTTGGTGGATTTAATCAGGGAGGAGATGGCAGAGGGAGGCGGGAAAGGATGGACAGATTATTTCATTTATTGGAGAGGATGGTGGACAGATGTTATTATTTTGGTGTTTTTTTTTTTTAACAAGTTGAAGTTCTGTGTTGCTGTTATTAAATTAAATTATTAAATTGTTTATAAAAGTTATTGCTGTCGGTGTGTTCTTAAAGTCTTTTAACCTTTTTACATGATCTGTTTCATCACTTCTTTGTAATTTAAGCAAACTTAAAACAACTTGTCAGTGACAGTTTATTTTTAGAGAAGCAAGTATTTACAATAAACTATTAAACATTTTTAACTATTGACATTAGATTTTATAATTAACTACTACAACTATTTACAGAAGATATACAGTAAATATTATTAGAGAACATATATATATATATAATTGTGACTGAGCAGGAGTCCCTGGTGGTGCTGCTGGACTGGATGGGATGCCACACAGATGTCCTTGGAGTCTTCTGACTGAGAGTGGGACATCATCTGGGGGGTGGGGGGGATGCCTCTCTCCACTGCTGATCCAATCGATGGCTGCCATGTTACTAAAAATGTTCAAAAAGACGCAGAAAATAATGACTTTACTAAAACTGTTTTTATAACCCTGAAATGAGAACAGCTAAAATGTGATTCTACTTGCCATCTAAATGTAACGGTGGTCGGGTAGACCCTCCTCCAGGGCAGACACCTCAGCAGACAGCTGGTCCCTCCATGGAGCACCACTGACTGCCTCCTACACGTTCTCCCCCTCCTCATCCTCTGGCATGTCGTCCTGCTCTTCATCCTCTGGGGCTGTTATGACCTGTAGAAAAAAAAAGACAAAAATATTTATTTTTATTCAGTCATCTATCTTTTTTCCTTATCTTTATTACATGATTTATTAGAAATTAAATTTTACTTCATCTAGATCCACTATTTAACTTATTTTTTTCGTATTTTTATTTTTTTCCCCTGTATTATGTTTTATTTATATATATATATATATATATATATATATATATATATATATATATATATATATATATATATATATATATATATATATATATATATATATATATATATATATTTGCAAATAAAATCAGGCAGTAAGGGGATAACAATTTAGACAAAAATGATTTATTTCTCAACAGTTTGGCTTCTCAACACAACATTAGTAATGGTGAAAGTAGTGATTTAAGTCAGTTATTTACAGGGTTTGTACACATTTAACTATTCAATTCAAATTACTAAAGTTACAAATAAATCACAAACTTACAAATAAATATAAAATTTGATATTTAAACCTATTCATCAATCTGCTGACAAGCGTTTATTTAATAGCTGGTATATTCTGATCATTAGCAGGCCCCTGTGGGTTAGAATAATAGCAGGTAGATCTTACCTCTCCACTGCGCTCTGCCAGCCTGAGAAAAATCCGTCGCAGGTTTTGCTGCCGCCGAAGCCGTCAAAGCGACTCTGCTCCTCCAATAACAAGTAAATAAAAGAAATAAAAATTTCCATATCTATTTTTTTGTTGTTTCTTTCAGTATTTCTCGAGCTGTCGGATTTTGTTTCGCGCTGTGTTTGGGGTAAACGTGATGACGTCGTGTCGCAACCAGGAAGTGCTCCAAAGGCTAGACCGTCCCATTTACCAACGGCTGAGGATCCTCCGGAGCAGCCTACCGAGTCTGGGTCCTCCGGAGGCTAGGTAGGCTGCGTCCTCGGAAGTACGCAGCCTGCGAATTGAGACGCAGCCAATGAGTTCACTGTACTCAAATGGCCTCCACAGTCACCAGATCTCAATCCAATAGAGCATCTTTGGGATGTGGTGGAACGGGAGATTTGCATCATGGATGTGCAGCCGACAAATCTGCGGCAAATGTGTGATGCCATCATGTCAATAAGGACCAAACTCCCTGAGGAATGCTTCCAGCACCTTGTTGAATCTATGCCACGAAGATTGGAGGCAGTTCTGAAGGCAAAAGGGGGTCCAACCCGTTACTAGCATGGGGTACCTAATAAAGTGTCCAGTTTGTTTTTTAAATGTTTTTTGTAATTCAGTAATTTTTAAGTTTACAGGTTCCTGGTGTTTATATGCATGCATCAGATAAACTCAGATTCCTTCCTGCAGATTCTTTTCAAACTAAAGTTTGCTTTAAACTGCTGTGTGCTTGGAAAAATATAAATCTAAAAAAGAAACTTGACAGGTTAAAAACTTCAGATAAATCACAAGAAAGAAGTAAATGTCACAAATGAATAACTTTTAATTTAGAGTCACGGTATGTTTATACAAGATAATACTATATAATGTGAGTTTTCTAGAGAATCATTATACATAGTTATTTTATACAGGGTTTCCACAGTCTTACATAATTTCAGAATTCCCTGACTTTTACCTGACTCAGGATTAGTTTTCCCTGACAAAATAAATGCAGCAACAAGACAATAATAATAACATAACAGGTCACCAATTTGACATGTTTAGCTCTATAAAATTTAAATGCATCTCTCCAATGTCTAAGAGAAAAAAAATTAATGAACATTTTTTGATGTATGACCTACATCACTGTACAAAAGACTGCCATATGATAGCAATATTATTTAAAATATATATTTAAAATCTAGGCCTACACTTTTATTTTGAAAACAGGAAGTCGGTACACGCTGTGGTCGTTAGCGTTTGTTGCTTCAAAAGTCAAGATAAAGTAGTACATATCATCTGGCATCATTATTTTGTGGATTTTTTGAGAGTTTGGGGTGAAGAGTTAAGTAAGATATATTACATATTATGCCTTAGATTTGAATAAAGCGATTTCATTCAGAAAATACACTGCAGGTCAAAAAATAAGTTTAAATCACTTTTAGGAAAGAAAAATAGTCATATTCTGTGTATTTTGTGAATTATCTCAGTGCTGGGGGGGGATTATTATATTATAAAATAATATAATAATTATATTAAAATATAATAATATCCAATACTCATCTAATAATTCTTCATCACTCTTTGGCAGAGATGGGAAGTAACGAAGTACAAATACTTTGTTACTGTACTCAAGTAGATTTTTCTGATATTTTTACTTTACTACTTATTTTTATGGCAACTTTTTACTTCTACTCCTTACATTTTTACACAAATATCTGTACTTTCTACTACTTACATTTTAAAAAATTGGCTCGTTACTTTAGTTTTGAATCATTTCAATGGAGTTACCGTTATTATTTTTCACGTCATCAATACCAAATTCAATCTAATTGGATGGGAATCTACGTTGCATTTGACGCACCACTACAAGATGAATCGACAGATTCGGCGGTATTCATTCGCGGCAAATCATTGCAGCTTGGTGACGGTGGCATTAGCATAGTAGTATGGACGACGAGATGATTGAAAATGAACACAAAGGAGATCTAGTCCTATTGGCAGACTTCCATTTTAAATGTAGGCAACGGCATGAAAAAGTGGTTTCTACTTTTACTTTTATACTTTAAGTAAATTTACAAGCCTGTACTTTGTTACTTTTACTTGAGTAAAGAAGTTTAATCAGTACTTCCACTTTTACCAGAGTATTTTTTAACACAAGTACCTGTACTTTTAATCAAGTACGGAAAGTGAGTACTTTTGCCATCTCTGCTCTTTGGTGAATTAAGGTTTTCCATTTTCTCTATTCAGGGAATTTCTTTAGTATGGGAAGTTCAAATCATCATTAATAAACTTTGATTCTTCCTTGAAATTTGACATTTCACACTATCTGTACTTACATTTTTAAATGAATAAAAATATCACCATGAAAAACAAAATATGACAAACATTTTATTTTAAATAATTTACTGAGTTACATCCGTCACAGTACAGTAACGAGACAGAATAGTTTTAAATGGAATCAAACGTAGTGCAGAAACGTCTTTCATAGTTTACTTTTATTGCTAAAGTCTGTTTAGAATTTGCAGATGTTCATGAGGAATGCAAAAGGAAGCCGTTGATGAGGAGCAGAAAGGTAAATAAGACACATCTGCTGTAACCTTGGTCATAGAAATATAACTGGTTTACTGATGTTAATAGTGTTTGATTTCAAAATCTAAAATACAGAGAAAGAAACTAGAAACAACACAGGCAGGCTGGGCTCACTAAACATGGAAACAAGTCCCTCTTCTTGCTGCTCTGTGGGAACGCGCCCGATCTTAGCCAATCAGTTTTTAACAGACAATCACTTTTTGGCACAACAGCATCCAGCGAGGGTCGGGGAATGTGGGGCGGTGTTCGGTGGCCGGCCGCCGGCGGGGCCCGCGGACTCGTCCCTGCGGCTCCCCGGGGCGCCGGCATGGCGCCGGCTGGGGGGCTTCCTTGGAGCTGTCTCTCCTCCTCCCTTGGTGGGGTCTGATTTCCGGGGCTGGCACCTCCTTGGTACCTTCGCTCTTGGAGTCCCTTTGGGCGCCTGGGGCTTTGGGTCTCCCAACCCTGGACTCAGTGCTCTGGGGGGTGGCGAAGAGGCACCCCCCAGAGCATTTTTTCTATAAACTTTACATGCACAAGTTCACCCTCACAAACAATTACAGGGGCTTGGCTCCAGGTACTCAGAGATTCACTTCCATACAGAAACCCCACATCCATATCTTCAGATGACACAGATTACTTTAGTGATAGTTTCAAGGTGTTGCTTTATTGTATGTCTCGTACCATGTCTTTCGGTTGTTCTGTTCTTTTTTTATCCCGTTACAGGTAATGAAGCAGACTGAAAATGATTTGTCATTGTCTCCTTTCTATCTCTTCTTTCTTTCATCTTTTCTCTTTTTTTCTTTTTTCCACTTTCTTCTTCTGTTTTTCTGCTCTATTTACATTGGAGTGTCCATATAAACTGTAAAACTCCCTGCATAATTATAATACTTATTGCCGCACTGCCAGACAGGACACTGTAAAAAAAAAAAAAAAAGAATCCTATTATAGTGATCTATAAATGGAACAACAGAGAAGAGTGTTTAACCCATTTAGGCCTAAAACGCCTGGAAAAAACACCTTAAAAACCTAAGGC